AGGGTTAAGTGACTTACTCAGGGTCACACAGATAGTAAGTGTCTGAGGCCATATTTGAACTCAGGAAGATGAATCAGGCTTGGCACTCTATCCACTGTACCACCTAGCCGCCTACCCTCGACTATAAAATGAGGATAATAACAGCACCTACCCAACTGCTTTACACAGTTCTTGGCAAATAGTAGATACAAATAGATGTTAGCTAATAATAGATCCCTAAAACAAGTATATGAGTTCAAATTGCTACACTGGCAGGAATGCTACCAGATCAGGAGAAAACAAGTTAAAATCCAATCTTCACAATGAAATAATATATTTATGCCCTACATGCCTCCCCCAAGACAGAGCTCAAATGGCTCGAACTTATCCTTTCCACCTATCCTTCAGTTTCAAGTTCAAACACTTCTGTGAATTCTTTCCTTTTCCCCCACCTAGAAATGATTCTCCCTCATCTGATTCCTTAGCACTTGGGCTTCATGCTTCCATTTGTGTGAATTCATCTGTATACATTCATAATTCACTTCCATTCATGACTTAGATTCATACCTTTACTACTACTCATTATGCATTCATAAGCTACTTGCTACCTATGGGACCTTCCTCAGGTGAAGCTAAAATGAAGGAGCCAGACTGAATGATCTCTTAAGGTCTTTCCAGTTCCAAATCCTAGGTTGGTTTGTCTAGATATGTAATCATCTTATGTACCTATATTATAATTTGTACTATTATCTATGAATGTGTCATCTCCCATTAGATTGTGTGCTTCTTGAGGACAGGTACTAGATACCATCTATTTTTGTAATTCTTCCAGGACCACAATGCCCCACCCATAATGGGCACTTAATAAATGTTGGTTGAATTAATATTTTTTTCATCCCCCTGCTTTAAACCTTCCAGGTCACATCCATGTCTCTAATTATCCTCCTCAATGAGTTTTCCCTTCACCCTCTGGCTCTTACCTACCTTTTAATCCTTATTTCATATTACCCCCTTCATAAATTCTACATTATATTTAAATTGGACTCCTAGCTGTTCCCCCTACTCAGCATTATTCCTCCCCTTCTGAGCACTGGTGCTAACTACACTCCACATCTCCAGCCATGCCTGGAATGCACTCACTCCCTCCTCATCTTTGTCTTTCAGAATCTTTGACTTCCTTCCAGGCTAAGCTGAGGTGTCACCTCCTTCCCAAAGCCTTCCCTGAACTCCTTGGGTGTCAAGCTTTCTTCTTCCCCAAACTATTTGGTATTTTATTCATGAGCACATAAAACTTAAATGAAAATTTAAAATGACAAAAACAAAATCATCTCTACCCTCAAGAAGATTACTTGCCCAAGGGAAGCCTCAGGGAACATTAATTTCTTTCCTTACATAACTTTGTTAGGGGAAGGGTTTGAATCACTCTAATAGAGCATAAGTTATTTGAAGTTAAGGACTGTTCCATTTTTTTCCTTATATCTGCATGGCCTAACATATGGACAAAGTCGCATAAAGTAAGCACTTAATGTTTGCTTAATCAAATTTATTATCTATGCTTTAATGTCTACAATCTATATAACCTTAGTGAGGTAGCCTAAATCTCTCTAAGCCTTGGTTTCCTCATCAGTAAAATGAAAAGCTTGGATTGCATGGTCTCTAAGATCCCTTCCAACTCTATTATGATTCAATTACCCATTTATGGTGGAATTTGAGAGAAATCATTTTTACTTGGCATTTTTAAGGAGGATTCTCTTCAGGAGAGTTACCTTCATAAGGCCAAGGACCCTAAATTTAGGGAAGCCAAGACACATGGCACCAAGAAGTTTTTTGACCTGGAACTTGTCAACACTTTCTATTCCAGAGTAACATCTTCTCTGGGGTTTGTCTTTTTTCACCTATTCCTGGAAGTGTTCGATTGCCATATTAGGCTTATACTTAGAAAAGAGAGTGGAAAGAACAGGGAGAGGGAAAGAAAGAACCTTCAGTGATCATGTGCCTCAAGGGATTTCTATGAGTGAGAGATGTACAATCTCAGAGAAAAAAGTAGTTGAGTCAAGTTGGTGGTCCAGACCCCTGGTCGGAGATTGGGATGTCCAGCTCTGTCTCCAAAGTTCATCTATTTGGTTTCCCTACCTCAAACTGAAGTTTCCTCCACTTTTGCTGTAGGCTCCACTCAGAGCTCCTTCCCTAATCGCCTCTGGCATTGACAGGTAGATCCCCAGAGAGTGGCTGACGACTTTTCCCCTCAGGCTTCTAGGAGTAACCTTCAGGGGTTAGAGATTTGTTTTTCTAGTAATGTCACTCAAGACCCATTCATTGCACTCAAAGCTGTGCCAATTAGCCATTTAGAGTTAATTAACTTTTAGAAACAGCTATTTACTAAGATGGTATTGGAAGGACAGTTGGTACAAAACACCCCTAATACTGAAGATACACTCTGAGTCCAGGGGGAAATAGGCTCAATCCTAGAGAACACACATGGCTCATCTTTGGATTATTAGAAATTCTTTTCTCCCTCATGGAGTCCCTCAAAAAGTTTTTCTAAGATGTGACTGACACAAAGGGCATGCTTCCTGAAGTTGCCTTTCTTCATGTTGAGTTTGTCTACTCTCAGGTCACATTGATATATTGCTTATTACTGGTCCTGTCCCTCCAATGACTTGGTCAATGGGGGGAGGGCAGCAGGAGTGTGACACTCCTCTGGACTTATTATCCTTACCCCACCACCACACCCAATATGATGTCATTAAATGAATGAAAGTACTTCTGAGACTCCCAAATCTTGATTGATCGATTCAATAGAAGTGCCTAGAATTTGTTTATGCCTTTGATTGATTGATTCTGCAACTCAGTAAAAGGGGTGTTCTCACCTGATAAAGACAGCAAGGCTAAAACATGGAGTTTGGTTTTTTTTAACACATTAGTTAAATTTTGAAGGGTATGAGGTCCTCTTTTTATTTTTTGTTGTTGTCTTTTTTCTTTTCTTTTCCTTTTTCCTGAGGCACTCTTTTGAAACTACCATGAGGGAAAAGGAATGCTTGATTCTTCCCTAATGTTTAGTACAGCTTTTGTTTTAAAATTATTATCATTATTATTATTATTATTATTATTAATACAAATAATGCCACTATAATTTTTTGTTCATTATAGGACATTTCTTACTGTCATTAACCTCTTTCATATTTAATCCTAATACTGGGACATCTAGATTAAAGGATATAAAAAAATTTTTAATAATTTTGCATACTTACAAATTATTTTCCAGAAAAGTTAGACCATTCTATATTTTTTGCACACCCGTCTTCCCACAGTTCCTCCAACACTGGATTTTTCTATCTTTTGCCACCTTTTTCAACTTGGCATGTGTGAGTTAATACCTCCCAGTCATTTAATTTTCATTTCTCTGATCATTTCTGATTTTGAACAGTTTTTCAAATGGTTGCTGATATCTTTCAATTCTTTTTTGAAAATCATTTATATCTTTTGTCTACTTGTCTACTAAGGATGGATCTTAATCATATAACTTTGTGTCAATTCCCTATCATGGTCAGTGGAAAGACCACTACAGTAAGTTTGAAATCCAAATCTACCACTTAGTTATCACTAGTGTGACCTCAACAAGCTTTCATTTTCTACATCCTTAAAATGAAGGTTTTGGACTAGATGACTTCTAACTTCCAGAGCTAGATCTATGATCTGAATGTCAGACTTCTAATAGAGGTATTCAATGCAAAGATTGTTTTATCCTCAATCCATCTTTTTAAAAAACATTAGTTGCATTAATTTTGTTTAAGCAAAATTTTAAATTTACACATTCAAAGTTGTCTGTTTTATCTTTTTAAATCTTCCCTATACTGTGTTTGGTTTTGAATTCTTTCCCTCTTGATAAAACAACAGTTGTAAAAGATATAAACCTTTCATTCTTTTATTTGAAAAAAAAAATTGACTTTTTTATCATGCTATTTATGTATCAGTAGTTTATCATGGTATAATCATCTAAAGCACTTGCTCTTATGCTAAGATATCTTAATGTCCTATGGAAATAGTTTTAAGGAATCCAGGGTCATCTCTTCACTACTATGAGGTATTGGACAGGACTTTAATGAAAGGACAGGGAATAAGTCTCAAAAATGTTTTGTGAAAGGGGAAGATATATACTTGAAAGCAGACTTTAAAAAAAAAATTCAGCCCATCCCTAGAGATCTGGCAAGTTTTGCTAAGTCAGAGGGAACCTAGTTGAGAAGAGGATTGTAAATTTAGTTTGCAAATAGAGACTCACTAACATGGCCTTGGGTTGTATTAGCCAAACTAAAGACCTATTCTCATTCCTCCTCACTTTTCAAAGAAATGTGAGGGTTATTTTTCCCAGATCTCTTTAGTATTCGAATAACTTCACAGCCATTAGTGGTGGTTTAACTGGAGTCTTGCCAAGAAACAAAGATGAGTTGACATCAGACAGAGAAGAGACACTGCCTTTGGGATGGATGAACTCTGAGGACCAGTTCGGGAATAACACCCAAAACTTTGATAGATTTTCTTAGTCTAATAGCATCCCCGCCTAATTCACCCAAACCCCTTAAGAGACCTGGGGCCTGGGTAGTTTTGACAAGCGAGCTCTCTAATCTGTGCTCTTCCAACAAGGTTAGAGTGAGGGAAGAGGGGAGGGATAATGTTGGGATGGGGGGATTTGAGGGGGAGGGAACTATAGGAAATTGATTGCTCTTGTAGTTTGGTTTATACCATGCTGCTCATTTAGCTCTGCCCGGGTGGTGACCTTTAGATAATAAAGGGAATTCTGGGAGATTTCTGACAGGCCTGTGAGATATGGGGCAGGTCTGCAGGGTCAGTTAGTGTATCTCCCCACTCCCGGCCCCAGGGTAATGAATCTTGTTTTGACTTCGAAAAGCCAGCCCAGTCAGTGCCCTAGAAAGATGAGGAGCCACGGGAATAGGATACCAACCCCACCTCCCCCAAACCCCAGCCCCCAAATGAGTACATGTCTTTGGAGTCCTACATAATTCAAGGAGACAACTCCAAACTTTAATAGCCTGCAGAAGAAAAGACAAACACTGGATGTTTTGCTAAGGTCCTGGGAGAGCTGGCTCGGTTTCCAGGGTTTGACCAGAGCCCACTGGAAAGACCTGGGGGGAAAAAAAAAGAAAGAAAAAACAATAACTGGCATTAAAAGCTACAGTCCCAGGACAGTGATCAGGGAGGAGGAACTGGGGCAGTAATCAAAGGGAAAAGAGAGCTCTCCCTGGGAGCTAAGAAACATTCAAGAAAGATTCTGTTGGCTAGCATGTGTTGTCTTCGCTGACTTCTGGGGACTTGTATAGGATAAGGAGAAGAGAGCCATGCTATAAAAATTGCCCACCACGTGAGGACTTGACAGACTTCAATTTGAGCTCACTATTGCTTGCTGTGTGATGCAAAAAAAGTTGCTCAATAAACTTCTCTGGACTTCAGTTTTCCACCCTGAGAGGGGGAGATTCCTCTCTTGCCTCCCTCTGATCTTCCAGGAATGTTAGCAGATTTTTCTTGTTGCTGTCGGGCAGCATGGTACAGTGGAACAGAGCACAGAATTTTCGGCCAGAAGACCCAACCCCTGCTTGCTGCCTATCCCTGTGACTACAGGCAAATCATCTCACCTAAGAGCCTACCTAACCTCCTTGTAAAAGGATATAATTACTCTGGCACCACCTACCTCACATGAGCTTTTGTGAGAAAAGTGTTTTGTAAAAACTACAGAAATGTGAGCTATTAATACTATTGTTATTCTTGGAGATTTTTGCCTTCTATTCCCCTCCCTTTCCTCTACTTCATCCTTGAAGGACTCCCTCAAAAGTTCAAGTTCTCCTTCTATTCCATTGCCTACAGTGTTCTCCTTTCCCTGGAGTGAGGTGCTAGTGTCCCTGACCGGTTTCTTTTCTGTCACCTTGCCTTGGGGTTTGAGAGGGTTATCATGAGAATACCCGTGATTCCCACTTTGGTCCCCAGGCAGCTTAGGTGGTGTGGCCCTGAGCACAAGAGGAGCCCACTTCCTGTCCCCTTCCATAGCAGATCCATCTGCTGTCCTGCCAGTAACAGCTTAGATCTTGATGAGTTCCCATCTCTTGGACTTTCCCTCAGTTACTCAGTGACCAGGCTCCCCCAGTTCCCATCTGGCCTGTGAAGAGAACAGGATGTGTGTTGAGCCTTGGGGCATGGGTCTTCTCAGTGAGGGAGAAGAGCATCTCAGTGGAGATCTCTACCAAAAAGAGATTCAGTCCATGATAGAAAGGCAGTAGATCTCATGTCCCATAATCCGTTTCCAAAGAGGTGAAATGCTGGCTATGGAGCCAGAGGCTGTAACTAATCTAGGCTCCAGAACTTGCTAATAAACCTCTTCTCTTCATTCTCTCTCCCTCTGACTCCATTTCATTCTCTCTGGTTTTTCTGTCTTTGTGGGGGGAGGGACCTGGCTACCTCCCTTCATCTGTCTCTCTCTCAATATGTCTTTCTTTGGCTATATTTTTCTCTTTTTCTCTCTCCTCTCTCCCCTTTTTTAATCTCACTCTCCCCCTATTTTTCTCTCTCTCTCTCTCTCTTTTTTGGTCACCCTCTCTGTCTCTCTTCTTGTCCATCTTTCTCAGTCTGTTTCTCTGTCTGATTCTATCTACCTATCTACTTCTGCCTCCCTCTCCCCATGTCTTATTTTTGTCTCCCACTCCTTCTGTTCTGCCATCTCTCTTCCCATGTGTCTTTCTCTTCCTTTACTCTCTCTTCCTGTCTCCCTCTTCCAGTCTCTGGCTCTCACTTTCTATCTCTTTCTCCCCTCTGTGTCTCTCTCTTTCTTTGGGATGAGGTATAACAATCCCTGTTCCACACAGCCCAGAAGATTCTATGGGGGAAAAAAAAATTTGACATCCGATTAATGAAACCAACGCAGCTGGTACGGCAGTGACATCTAAATTGTTCCTTTGGTCCTGTTATTTTCTGTAGGAAATTCTGTCTCTCCCTTTCTCTCTTTTCCCTTTAAATCACGTGCATAAAATACGCTAATAACAATCTTCGGTGTCTCTGAGTGAGTGACAGCTGAAATAAGAAAAAGACTAATCATCCCTCCTGCAGCCCTGTCACATGGAGATTAAATGAGCCTCTCTTTTCTCCCTACACCTCCCCCCCCCTCTTCTTTCCCCTCCCTGACTTGCTTGCTCTTTTCTCAATGAGAACCCTGGGCATTGGAATAATAATATTATAGACACGATCAGGGTGACAGTGGGGGAAAAAAATCAGCTCAGACCCATGATTAATCCTTCAATCTAATAATTATTTAAATACCAGATAACTCCTTTCACTCTAATTGAGGCCTTTCAGTTGCTGGCATTACCGGCACTGTTCCACGGGCTCCCTCCCTCACCTTGTGCTACCCAACACGTTCAGAGGTCGCCATTAGAATTCTATTCAAAGGGCCCACAGTGTACGCATGACATCCAAACAAGGTTCCAATAGCTAGGAGGCTGGAGCTAGTCCCTAATTCCCACCTTGCCTCGAATTTACAGAAATCTTGGGCCAAAAGTAGCTGATGAAGGTCAGCGAATCCATCACCCCGCCTTTGGGTGACTGCTCAGACAGAGAGCTGTCTAGCCTTACCTTCAAAGAAAAAGGACCCTGGAGACAGCATCTACACATAGTAGGGGGTTAATGAGCGTTGGTTAGATTAAATGAGATGGAATGTGCAAAGAACTTTGCAAAACATAAAGTGCTTTATAAATTAAGCTAACATTACTGTCATTATTATTGTTGTTGAATTGACAGAGGAAAGACATTCCACAACCTTCCTTGGGAAGGTTCTCCAGAAAAATCCTTCTAGTCAAGTTCTTTTTTTTTTCTTTTTTGGTGAGGTGACCAGGGTTAACTGAGTTGCCCAGGGTCACACACAGCTAGTAAGTGTCAAGTATCTGAGGTCAGATTTGAGCTCAGGTCCTCCTGACTCCAAGACCAGAGCTCTATCCGTTGCACTATCTAGCTGCCCCTTAATCAAGTTCTTTTTAACATCTAACTCCAGTCACTCCTGCTTAAAGCTCTCTGTGAATTCAGAAATTTCCTCCCTCATGCAATATCTGAACTTGCTTAGGAAGTATACTCAATTTAATAATAAACTTTCACATTCCTTTAATGTGAATTTTACAGTTTTGAAAACATTTTCACACATTTTTTTTGGATCCTCATAACAACTCTAGGAGGCAGGATTATTAGGATAAAGAAAGGATTATTCCTACTCTGTTTTTATGGATGAGGAAAACTCAAACAGATGAAGTGATTTTCTGGAGGTTACGGAGCTATCAAGGATGGAGCCCAGGATTTGAACTGAGGTTTTCTACCCCTTAGTCCTCTGCTTTTTCCACCATTTTCAATGGCACCTAGAGAGCTGACGTGGAATACTTGACCGCATGTGAAGTGACATTCTCCATCATGATATCCACCTGCTGCTCTTTGGGAATGGCTAGCCAGGAAAAGGAGAAATGTCAACTCTTGGTGCTCCCCTGTTTAGGGATGGTAGATGGCATGGTGTATAGCTCTGTAATTGAAGTCCCAGAATGTGGGATTAAATTCTGGCTCTGCTACTTACTACAATATGGTATGTAATAGATGGGATCCATGCTGGCCTTGGAGTAAGAAATAGCAAGGTTCAGATCTGCCCCTGAAAACTTATCATCATTTTGGCTATGAGCAAATCACTTAGGTTTTATGAGACTTAATTTGCTAATTTGTGAAACTGGTATTATAGTAGCTACCTTAAAGGTTTGTATGGAAGCTAAAGAGGTAGTTTAAAGCATATCATAAATGTTAGGTATTCTGATTATCTCTGTGACCTTGGGCAGGTTACCCAAGGTCAGGCCTCAGTTTCCTCGTCTGGAAAACAAGATATTGGACAACATGATCTCAAAAGACCTTTCCAGCTTCAAGTCTACTGATGAGTCATTTGCTGGTTTCTGATTTCTCCCCCAGATCTCTGTTCTTATTCTGACACCTTAACTTCCTATCATTCCTTATTCTTCATGAGCACATTTACCTCTCTCTGCACTCTTCCTCTGATTCAGGCTGACTTCTCCATTACCTTAACAGCTCTCTGTTCAAGTGGCATCCTATCTCTCCCCAGAAGGGCCATCCCAGGATAGAATAAAGTCAACTGTCAGATCCAATATCTGGTTATTTCTCATTTTAATATATTTTTGTTGATACCTTTTATTTTTACATCACTTAAATGTCTCCCAACATTCTTTCTTTCCCCCTCCCAGGGACCTATCCCATATAGAAAAGTATATATATATGTATATATATATATATATGTGTGTGTGTGTGTGTGTGTGTGTGTGTGTGGCAATTGAGGTTAAGTGACTTGCCCAGAGTCACACAGCTAGTGAGTGTTACATGTCTGAGGCTGGATTTGAACTCAGGTCCTCCTAACTCCAGGGCCAGTGCTCTATCCACTGCCCCAAAAAGAATATTTTTTAAAGAAAAAGAGGAAAGGAAAAAAATCAGCCAAATAGACTAATACATTGAAAAAGTCTAAAAACATATGCAACCTTTTTTCACTTTCTAATAGAGTCAGCAAGGCACAAGAGAAAGAGAATTACTGGGAATTAGGTCCCAGCCCTATTGCTGCTATCTTTCTGTGTGCTACCAGCATAGTGACTTCCCGTCTCTGGGCCTCAGCTTCTCATCTGTAAAATGGGGGGACTGCATTAGATGGTGTCCAAGATCTCCTGCCAGCTCTAGCAAATGTGATTTGAAGGAGTCAGCAACACCTTAAGGCAAAAGGGGGTTCCAATCACTTTCTCCATTCTTGAATTAGAGAGGACTGAGGGAGAATAGCATCTGAGAGGGGAGAGAGCTGGAGGGATCCAAAAGGTCCATTACTTACACCCTTTGTTGATTCCATGCTGATAATATTCCTCTTTTCTTCATCCATGCTTGGAACCCCAGGGTTCTCGCTGCCATGGCCTTCAGATCCTCTGTGTTGGAAGAAAAACAATTAAGGTTGGTGTAGAGGTGGCAAAGAGAGCATCAGGCAGGACCCTCAGCTGAACTGCAAACTTCTAAGTGCTATTCTTTTCCTGCCCCATCAATAAGACCTGCCTCCCAGATAGCTCCTCAGCTGGGCATTTGGTGCCATCTAGATCTGTCATCAACACCTGCTACTCAGATCCTTATCTGGGGAGATGGTGCGATCAGGCCCTTGAGATAAAATATCTCATAAGCTTTGGTCTCTGTCTCAGACATCCAATTTGACCCTTTGGTGACTCAGTCCAGAGACTGAGTACCAGAAAGCAACACCCTCTAGTTTGAGGCTCGAGGTAAGAAAGTAGGGAGCAAGTGAGAAGTTGAATAGAGCGCTGATGTTGAGGCTCAGTCAGAAAATCTGAGTCACATATACTGTGATGGGCAGTTCAGTTCTCTGTGTCTGTCTCCTTCCTCATCTGTAAAATGAGGATTTTGCACAGGGGGTATTGGAAGAAAGGTGTTTTGCAAACTATAAAAAATGAAATATGAGCTCCTATTATTTTGGAGAAATCAAGAAAATTCTGGATCCTAGGACTGTCTTTGTGTGATGGTGGGATCCCCTCAGCTTGCTGGAGGTGGGAAGAGATGGACAGAGGTAAACATTGTATATTACCTACCAAAAAACTGCTGGGATAAAGTTTAGCCTAGAGCAGGAACAGGGAGCAGATACAGATAAGAGAAGATATAGGAACATAGGAACTGGGAAAACCCAGGTTGAATCAATCAGCAAGCATTTATGAAGTGCCTACTATGTACCAGGCACAGTGCTAGGTACTGGGGAATACAAAAACAAAGACTTGAACGACCATTCCTCTCTAGAAACTTACATTCACATTCTATTGGAAGTCTTTCTATGTTTTTCTAAAAATCAACCAGCTCATTATTTCTCATAGCACAGTAGTATTCCATCACAATCACATACCACAACTTGTTTGGACAGCCCCTCAATTTCCAGTTCTTTGCCACCACAAAGAGAGTTGCTATAAACATTTTAGAACATATAGGCTCTTTTCCTTTTTCCCTGATCACCTGGGGAAACAGACCTAATGGTAGAATTGCTGGGTCAAAGGGTAAACACGGTTTTATAACTGTTTGGGCGTAATTCCAGCTTGCTTGAAGGAGATAACTTCTAAATTGAAGATAGTGATCTCACTTTCAGGCTGTTCAGAAAACTTAGGGGAAACCGGAGGAATGTGGAAATAGAGAAGGGCCCTAAGGGATCAAGTGCCCAAAACAAACAAAAACAAAACCCCGGTACCTGCCCTCAAGGAGCTTACATTCTATTGAGGGAGACAGTGTAATTCCATACAAGAATATATACGAAATAAATTTGAAAACTCACTGTAAGGCTGGTCAGAAACCAGGGATACAGGGAGCAAGGTAAATGAAGTCTTGGGACCAATTCTGAGACCCTCATCCTTCCCTAAACTTTGAATTCTGATAGGAAATTTGACCCTTTCCAGAGTGCTCTGGATTGGAGCCGCAGCTCAGTGCCATTAACTTTGGCCACTTAGGGCAACGGGCTCTTGGCTTTCCTCCATCTTTGAAGTCAACAGAACTTCTGAAAGTCACATGTGTCAAGTGACTGGGGAGGGTCCCATCTCCTCTCCAGGCAAAGGAAAGTTGCTGCTTTAGGCTCCCAGATTCTTAGAGTGACAGCTGCTCATAACTGGGTGCTTCTCCCTGGCTCCAGGGACCTCAATCCACTGTCCTACTACCAGGAACAGTCTGCTCTGATCCGATCCAAACCACCTAAAGAGAAGAGGCTTCTATTGTCACTGATGAGGAATCTTGACCTGCTCAGCCCAACCTAGAGGATTAGAAATCTCTAAGTTGGTCACATTTCTAGCCTCTGAGAGCTGAGGGGGCCTTGATTATGATGTCAGTCTTCTTCATTTTGTCTTTGTTCAGTCATTTCAGTCATGTCTGATTCTTCATGACCCCATTTGGAATTTTCTTGGCAAAGATGCTGGAATGGTTTGGCATTTCCTTCCCCAGCTTATTTTACAAATGAGGAAACTGAGGCAAACAGGGTTAAGTGACTTGTCCGGCTCACATAGGTAGTAAGTGTCTAAGGCCAGATTTAAACCAGATTTGAGGCCAGATTTTGAGACTAGATTTGATTGACTCCTTGAATTCTGAATTTGATCTCCTTTTTGTTGGAAGAGGGCATTTTCCTACCCAAAGTTATGGTGGGAGTGGGGCTGATGAAAGGAAATGCCCTTCCCAGGTGCTCCTCCAGCTAGAGAATTGGGTGAATTTCTGAAAATCAAGATTATCTCGAGTTCATTTCCCTCTCTTGGAATATGAGTGTTGCTACCAGCCCTGGAATGTAGCTAAAAATACTCTCTGGCTTCCGAAGGGGAGCTCTTGTCTGGAGCTCATGTGGGGAGGGAGGCTTTGCCGGTGTGTGGAGAGCCGGAAGGGCTGGGGCAGAAGGATCTGAGGTCAGCCCGTTGCTCACACTGGGGTTGCTTTCCTCTTTTTAAGGAGGCCTCTGGGACCTCATGACTAACCCCAATGAGCACTTGGGGTGACTCTGATCCAAGGTATGTGGGTCCTATCTCAGGGACTCTGCCCCAGAAAGGGAGGCACTGTTGTCAGGCTTGATTCTAAGGTTCAGAAGAGAGAGCTGGAGGAGGGTTTAGAAGGCAAAGAATGTAATGAAGCCTAAGGCTGTGTGTCCTGTTCTAATTATAACCTGGCTGAGCTGGATGGGGTAGGGTTCAGGAGACTCCTGAACAGTGTTTGAATGAGATTTCCACCTTCCACTTGAATGTTTACAGCCCGAACACAAACACAACAGCTTTTTCCCAATTCTTGAGCATAGATCTTGTCAGCTCAAAATTCTTAGGGCCTTAGAGACCATCAAGTCCAATCCAATTCCCTCATCTTACAGATAAGGAAACTGAGGCTTAGGAAGGGGACATAATACCCCAGGTATTCAGTGACTCCTGATTGCCTTCCAAGTAAAGTTTAAACTTCTTTGCTTGCATTCAAGGCTCCCTAGAATCTGGGACATTCAATCTTTCCATACTTATGTCATTGCCTCTCTTTCATGAATTGTGTTGCAGTCCAAGAGAACTATTAGGTGTCACAGTATATACAACACTGGGCCTGGAGTCAGGTACACCTGACTTCCAACCTGGCCTCAGACACTTACTAGCTGTGTGACCCTGGGCAAGTCCCTTAACCCTGTTTGCCTCAGTTTCCTCATCTGTCAAATGAGCTAGAGAAGGAAATGGCAAACTACTCCAGTATCTGTACTGAGAAAACTCCAAATGGGGTCACAAAGTGTCAGACGTGACTGAAATGACTGAAAAACAACAAGTCTCCCATTTCTGTATATCTACTCACACTATTCCCACTTCCCCTTGTCTAAAACACCTTTCTACTCCTCACCCCCCCGCCCATTAACTGTTAATAGCTCTTTTAAAACTCAATTCAAATGTCATCTCTCTGTAAAATCTTCCCTTCATCCTCCGGACCTTCCCTCTCAGACCTTTTATAGTATTTTGTTCCACAACCGTTTAATATATTTATCATGTAAGCCTGTCTATTATAGTTACCTGTCTTTTTTCTAAACTATAAGTAAACTCCACAGAGGCAGACAATGCATGCTACCTAAACTTCCTATCTCCTTCGTTATCTAGCACAAGATTGTATATGCAGTAGGCACTTAATAAATATTTGCTGAGGGCAGCTAGGTGGTGCAGTGGATAGATCGCTGGGCCTGGAGTCAGGAAGACCTGACTTCCAGTCTGGCCTCAGATACTTACTAACTGTGTGACCCTGGGCAAGTCACTTAACCCTGTTTGCCTCAGTTTCCTCATCTGTCAAATGAGCTGGAGAAGGAAATGCCGAACCACTCCAGTAGCTTTGTCAAGAAAACCCCAAATGGGGCCATGAAGAGTTGGATGTGACTGAACAACAACAAACAAATATTTGTTGAAATGAATGTCAATTAAAGTGGAAGGAACCTCAGAGATCATCAAATCCAATCCCTACCTTTTATAACAAAGGCCCAGATAAGTTGTGTGATTTCCCAGAGTTCACACAGGCAGTAAGTGAAAGAACTGACCCTCTGACTCCAAATTTAAAACTCTTCCCACCACATCAGGCAGCTTCTTCAGCCCCTTCATTTCTCTGAGCCTCAGTTTCCTCTTCTGTGAAAAGCCAATATAGTAACATTTAGACTCAAGTAGAAATAGGGGACCACTGAAGCATCCGTAAGAATCCCTGCAGGTCTCAAATTGACTTAGAAAACCATGTTAATGTGATCTGTGTTCTATTGTATTTATATTTATTAGGTTGAATATTTCCCAATTACATTTTAATCTGAACTGAGTCATCCTCAGCATCGCCCCCTACCCAGGCTGCATATTTGATACCCAATTTAGACTACCTGCTTAGTAATATCACTGTGAGATAAGCACTTTGTAAACCTTAAAGGACCTTTTATACAGGGGCTGGAAGAAATCTCAGATCCAACCCCTTCATTTTACAGATGACAAAACTGAGACCCACAAAGGTCAAGGGCTTTTTCTCCAAAGTTACACAGGTAGCAACTTTAAAGTGCAGTAAGAATATGAGTTGTGGTTATTATTGTGGTTATTTCACAAATGAATAATCAAGTAATGCCTGGAGTAGGAGTGACCCACAAACCTCTATTCCCCCTACTTCTCTCTACCCTGCGGTGTCTACGGGGTGCAGTGTGGTTGAATGAACATGACCCAGAAAACTACTTCCATTAGCAAAAGCTTGAGCAGCCTTTAATGCCGAGATCCAGAACTAAGCAGCTTGCTGGGGGTGGCTGGACTTTCCTTGTCCAAATGGATGAGGAATCAGCAACCCTGCCTTCCTGGGGCCATTCTTCCTTCTGAGTGGCACTTTTGGGCCATTAGCCCAACCTAACTCAACTGGAAAACGACAGTGCCTTTTTTGCTGATAA